ATGAATATTTTTAAATATTTTATGTTTTTCGACTATTTTTGGAATTAACGATTTTTATGTTACAACTGTAACAGTACATCATTTCGTGCTTGCCATGTCACAACTTCCAATGCTTTTCTAAGATCTGTAGCAGTCTCAGAGATAATGTTATACTTTGAATTCATAATTGTTGTCATATTAACATGCGCCAGTCTCAAAGTTATTTTGATAAAAAGAAGACTTGGAAAACTTGCCATTGCTGAGGAGAACTTGGTGTCAGTATTATAAAAGGTTAGCAAAATAGAAGTTAAATGTACTAAAAGATCTTTTTTTTTATTTTCGTCAGTGTCAGTAATTTTCATCATATACAAAATCCAACGATCCAGAATTTGAAGTGCTTCATTTATATCATTTTTGTGCATATCTGTACATTTGAAATTTGGTTTATTTCCACGGCCTTGTCTTTCATAAAAATGTCCTTCATGTTTATTAAAACATTCGGAACAAACATATCGAGGTCGATATTCAGCTCCTGGATCATTAATAATATTTTTTGATTTCAAGTTCTGTTCAAATATGGGACAAACCTTAAGCCCGATGCATGGTATTTGTATATTTTTTTTAAAAATATGTCTTGAATGCTGTATACATGTTCTTCCCCGACTAAAAAAGTACTTAGATTTATTACAAAATAGGCAACGCTGACAAAAAATTCAACTTTTCTCAATTGATCGTGCTTGTTTAACGTGCGGAAGATGAAGTTGGTTCTGGTCAAAAAGAAAATGATATTGGCAAACCCCTATCATCGACAATTTATTCTCGATCTGAGCCTGTTTGAATATCTCAGGATTAACTTCCCAAGCTCCAACAAGTTGAGCAAGTGAACTTTGTTTTTTTGCGAATGATTTAGACAACGTTGAATACGATCATCAATTAAATCTAAAATCAGACAAACTGATAGCGCTTGATTAGTGTTTTCTTCTATATTTTCAATGAAATACTCATTTTCGTCATTCGAATTGGATGTAATTGAATTCAGTTCAGAAGTTAATATATCATTGCTCTCAGTTTCAGTATCAATATCAATGTCCTTTAAAAGAAATATATCATTGTCATTATCTGCTTCTGCCAAAGCTCGCGCCACCTCAAAATTGGCCTTATCAAAATGAAAGGGATTTATTTCTATGTTAAAATCTGATGCATCATTTACAACACTTCCAGTTATGGTACTCTCTGATGTAAGGCTTTTGGTAGCTAAGTCCATACTTTCGATATTCTCCATATCATAATCATCTGGAACGTAGTCGAAATTATTAAAAAATAATACGTCATTGAGATTGGTATTAGTTGTTATGTTAACTTCTGGCTCTTGTGAGTTCATAGTATTTTTTGTAAAGATGGTATATATAATTATATTTGGAACTCCTAACAAGACTAATTATATATTATTAAAATTTAAAGCAACGTGGAATATTATTATATTGAAAATGTTGATATTATTCATCAAAATTTATAAAAGAATGTCATTTATTTATCGTTGTTGTCGTTGTCGTTGTCATCATTATCGTTATATTATTGTTATCGTTATTGTTATCGTAGTTTTCATAAAGTTGAGTTGCATTGACTGGAGATTCTTTAAAAACTATGACTACTGTAATATATAAAACCAAATAGTTAGCTAGAGAAAGATATCAAGTTTTATTTAGTTTAGAAAGGTACAATGATATACCTTGCGTTATAGGGGTGTTGGCATAGAAGCGAGTTGGCTCAAGTGATGATTTTCTATATGAATTTGACCGTGTGAATGGGTGTCGATCCCTTAATTGATACACTTGCTCAAATATTAAGGGACAAAATTTGCGAATTGCTAAAGACATATAGATCTTTGACTAATATATTGGGTCAGATTAATGAAAAGTTCACTACTTTGTGTAAAGATTCTTTAAAAAATATTGTAATTGTAGTGATAATAATTAAATAACAAAAAGTAAAAAATTAGATATTTAATTTTAGTTAGTACAGTAAATATATTAATTTGTGAAATTAAAATATTTTAATAAAGGTAAAAATTTTGTTTTTTGCTATTTTATTAACATATATGTGTAACTATACTTTATGCAATATTGATCCTTTAATTAATTCACTACAAGAAACATAATTTGTGACCGATATGTATTTTCCAGTATTTTTTGCGGCAAACAATTAGTATGGGATAACAAAAGAGAAGTTACGGTCGAAGATTTTTAATTAATAAGGCATTTTTAAATATTGTATTAGTAGAAACTTCTCTTTCATTATCGTTATATATGTTCTAACTAAAAAAAGAGCATTTGTTATAAATAAAAATTTAAAACCTTAACTTTATAAAAATGCTTTATATACCAAGTTTTATTATGAGTTTCAAGCTAGTTTTAGCGTTGAATCTTTTTAAGACTCTACCTTTATTATATATGTTCTAACTAAAAAGATGATATTTATTTTGAATTGGCTCTTGTAAATAAAATTTTAAAACTGTAACTTTGTGAAATGCTTTTCATCTTATTATATATCAAGTTTCATTGTGAATTTTCAAGTTCATTTTAAATTGAATCTTTTTAAAACTCTACTTTTGTTATCATTATGTATGTTCTACTAAAAAAAAGCGTATTTGTTTTGAATTGGCTTTTGTAAATAAAAATGCTTTTTGCATATTATAGCTTTACGCAAAATCTTTTGAGATCCATGCCTAAACCTTCGAAATGTAAATTACAATTAAAAAACGCACTTGAATTACGTGCCAAAAAGCGCAAGCTGGATCAACAACACCAAGAAATTAATGAAATAACAAATCATTTAAAAAAGTCACTGATCAAGAACTTAAAATGATACATGATAATACAGGATATGATTTTTAATATCTCGAATATTGATAAATTGATAAATCTGAATTTCCCAAAATATATCATGATATAATTAATACCCTTAAAGATATGCCTGAAACAGATCTCAAATCAGTATCTCATCTTTTACGTACGATGAGATATCCACATGGAAAAAAACAAAGATCGAATTATGTCACCATATATACAAAACAAAGCACTTCAATACATGTCAAACTCTCTTTACAAACCCAGGAAATCATTAGATGCATTAAGTCATCAAAATAAACAACTCAAACAAAATATTAAAAAATTACAACGATCTAAAGACCAGGTAACTCATAAAGTTCGAAAACTTAATAGTTCTATTGTACAATTTAAACGCAAGCACTGCCAGTATATATCTCAAATTCGTGCAATAGCCAAACACTCACTGGAATAAAAAGATAATGATATGAAAATTGTGATTAGAGATCTAGTTAAACAAAATAAAAAAGAATATAGTTCAGATTTTGTTAAACTTACCATGCAAGTTTCTCAAATTGGCCAAATGTTCTTTACTTCTGCAGCAGCAAGTATGAAGACCATTTTTAATTTTTTAACAGGAGATAATAATCAATCTTGGATTTCTATGACAACTATTAGCCATTGAAATCATGAAGTATCAGAATTACACGTAAGAAACATTTCAGCAAGCTAATCAATCGACTCATTTTGCATTCAGAATCATGGTAGAGGAATCGGGTCGCAGTGAAAAAAAAATATTGGTAGAATGTTTTATGTTTTGGAGTTCAGCAAAAAATATGCCAGATGTTATACTTCTGGAAACAAAAATCTTTGATACTGCAATTCTGATACAGTTAGTCAGGCTCTTGTTGAAACTTGTACAAAATATAATCTTGATACTACACAATGTCTTACCTTTCTTTCTGATAATACTAATTATATGAGTGATCAAGTTGGAGGTGCTGTAACAAAATTCAATCAATTGGCTAAAAGTAATTGCATTCGAATTCCTTGTGGATTATATATTTAATTTTAAATAATTTTGAAGAGACAGCTTTTGGTAAGCTTTCGACAAGTACTGGCTTTTTCAAAACACGACATCCATTTAATCTTCTTTATTTGGCATGGATATTGCATGATGAATATAATTAAGTGATAAAGATTCACCACTAAATATGAGAAGTGAAACAATTTAAAGTCTTTATAAAGAAAGACTTAATTATCAGTTGACTAAATATCAACATTTTTTATGCTCAAGATGGCAATATGAATTAATTACAACAGAACAATACCTTGAAAGACATGAAATTCATATTGAGTTCATCACGTGGTTTCTTCTCAAACTCAAAAATTTAAAAAAGTCCCGAGTTCCTATATTCAAAAATAGGAACTATTTCAGAATTGGTTAAATGATTCTGAGTTAAATATTGAAATCCAATGCTTAGTTAAATTTGCTCAAGAATTTTACTGTTTATTTGCAGAATTTCTTGCCAGTTATGATCCCCAATTAAAGATTGTTCAATCTGATAATTCATTGTAATACTTGCCATTATATCATCGAGCACATCAAATGTCTAATTTTATTATTAATTCAACGTGTAAGCTTGCAAATATCTTGGAAAATATTTATTTTTTGACGATGAACTTTTACAAGTACAGAAATAATGAATAATTCAAAAGTAGAATTATTAGTCCAAAAGTTAGAAAAAGGAATACAAAAAGAACTTGAATTACATCAAAAATGATTAAATTGTTGGCTCTACCTTCCCTTAAGCATGTGTCATCTTAGTGGAAATAATTTGCACGTAGCTATAGGCATGTTGTACTTAAAAACCTTGGCCAAACTTTTCTAGTTTAAAAGAACTTTGTTATGCACAATTTCTCAAAGACGATGTTATACAAAAAAGACTTAATGATTTTGGTTTTAAAACTGCCCTAACAAATGAATTATTTTTAGCCTATTTGTAAAGGAATCAACTGGTTTACTTCACGACTTTATGATTTTGTTAAAAACAAAATCTGATATATTATCATTCATCAGTAACAAATAGAAGGCTTATTTAATAAGTGGGATTTGAAAACTCACCCAAATATGACGAATGATACTCAAAAATCCAGAATGCGCCTCTCAGCAACTGGAACAAAGGAATTTCAGTTCACTAATGAACAACTAAAAGATATCCGAAGTGAAAATAAGATGACTTACCAGCAAGATTTTGCTGCATTAATTCATCAATCGGATAGACAATGAGAACAAAACGCAAATAATCTTTTTAAAAAATTATTTATATGTCGCTGAAATTTATTAGTTTTATAACATTAGTTTATTAGTTTTTTATAACGTTCGTTATCATAAATACCTAAATTTATATATGTACATCTTTTCCACTAGAAATTTGCCCACACGTTGAGACATTTTTTATTGAGATATGAGCGATTTAAACTAACAGCGATTCTATTGGCTAAAGAACATCATATTGACATGCATATAAAAATCTGTTCTATTAATTTTTACTATTAAACCTGATATAGATTTGATTAATTAGTATATGAAATACCCCCAATGTACCACCGCCACATGTATTTTACAGTACCCTAGCCATGGCAAAAAAAAAAGAGTCGATATTTGTGTATGTCCGGAACAATTCTACGTAATTGAGGTTATTGTTAAAGATTAATTTAGAGGTTAGGATTAGGGTTAAGGTTAGGATTAGGGTTAAGGCTAGAGCTGGAATCAAGATCATAGGTAAAATCGTCTTACCAAGCTGGATTTAGGTATCTGTTTCCCGTATTTTTTACCTTTTTTGCTTTTTCATATTCTTGCTTCGGATTTGTTTTGCCAGCTGATCAAATTTATTATTGGGAACCGAGCGCAGATTGTGACTTAACGTTTTGTGCAATTTATGTTGAGACAATAAAAATATGAATATGTTATTGATAATACATTGACCATTACCAAGAAATAATTCACGTGTAATTTTGACGTGCGCGTTCGATAAGTGATATCTATTTAAGTATGGTATGATTGAGCATTTTGGTATGGTTAAGTATGAATTCAGAGGATAGTTTATAAATAATTTGATTTGATATATCATACCATACCAAAATGCTCAAAATACCATATCTAAGGGAGAGAGGGTATTATAACGAAGTTAAATTTACTACAAGGAAAACTTTTTACAAATACAGACTTCCCTAAATACACCCTCTATAAGTGCACACCCTCTCTAAATGCACAGTATGGCTGGGTTCGAGCTCATAAGAGCTCTATATATTTTGCCTTCTATAAATGCACACCCGCTCTAAATGCACGTTTTATTATGGTCCCAAAGGGGGGGGGGGGTGCATTTAGGGAGGTTTGTCTGTAGATTAAAAAAGCCAATATTGAGATAATTGGCTTTTTTAATCTACTTCCAAGTACTAAGCAAATATATAGAAGAATATGTTTTACACATTTTTTGCTTATTACTTGAAAGCAGGTTAAAAAGTCCAATTTAGAGACAGTTGGCTCCAAGCAAACTAATTTGATCGATTTGTATGTTCAAATAGCTTTTTCTTAAATATGTGCAAAATTATTTTACGTCTATCTACTTATTACTTCGAGGTAAGATAATACTTCGTCACAATACTTCCATTCGCCAAAATACCCCTCTTACCTTAAATAGTGTATAATCGGACAATAACGATAAATAGAACGTGTACTGTACATGTATTAGTAGATGCATAACGATAACGATAATGTATCGGTATTATTAAGGTTTGACTGTAATACGTAATTCCAAACCAAATTTTTCTCTAAGCTCTGAAAATCAAAGAATCGACTTTTGTAAAGCACATCTTTATGAGTTTCTTGTGATGCGTTTTTCTGTATTTGAAATTTTCACATCTCCTTTCTTCAGCAATTCTAAATTTCTCCCTGGTGCTGGATTGTCACATATATCGGTTATCCAATCGTTAAATGTTTCATTCAATTCCTGTTGGTCAACATCTTTTCATCAAATAAGAAAACTATTTTGGAGTGTTCTCAATTTCCTTTGGTCTGACTCCATTGTAAATATCCATTGCTAATGTGCTCTTTCGGCAAAGTGCCTTTGTTCAGCTGCAAGCGGCCACATAATAACACTAAACCTATAAATATCAGCCTCTTTTGATTATTTATCCTCCAAGAAGAATCTGGTGCAATATGGGGAATAACACAAAATTATTATATGGAGTATCAACTGACGTGTAACAATGACAACATTGTAAATTCCACCATGTAAATTTTCATGAGATTAGATCGATGAATATTTTCCAAGCGAGCGGTAATCTCCCATAATAAATCGATTTTATCTTTCCAGCTAATTAATAATATCTTTGACGTTTTTAATGTATTGATTTAAATTGTCATTTTCATAGAATCTCATTGGTCCATCCCGAGACCAAACTTGAGTGTTTCGTTCCAATCTCCTCACTAAACTCTCCATCTTTTGTGGAATTAAATCAGTTCAAATTGCTCGTAAGGAATATATTCAAGGTAATCGCCGCTTATATTTGCTTCTGCTTGACTTTTTGTATAATTAAATCAAGTTGCAAATTGCCAGTGGTCCGTATTCGATGAGGAAACTACTATCCTGTTCTGTACTATTTCATTCATTGTACTGTTTATTTATTGTACTGTACCCTATATTCCGATCCCATACCCTAACCCTTTTCCAATACAGTTTATGCTATAACCCGTATTCGATTATTTTACATTTATTTAAATGCATTTAATCCATGTAATTTTGTTCGACAATACTAATACTATAATCATGAGTATTGTGATCTGAACACTCGATTCAATTTTATGATAACGTTTGTTTTAAAATTGGTGTACATAATGAAGATGAATTTCGTGTACGTAATACGTATTCTGTTTTTTAAGTCTTATACGACTCGGGACTTTCATAATCTATCGCTATTTATCGTTATTATTAACGTTAATTTTTACTCGGGTCTTTATAAACAAGCATACAATCAATGATGTCATTCAAAGAATACGCTTTAATTATGTGAATTGTCAGATTCTAACGCTAACGCTAAACAACATCATCGATATAGAAAATTACCACTTTGTATTTTCCCATCTGTGCACTCATTCACACAGATCAGTGATATTTATGGTTAATGCATCGTGTATGTATGCTATTGGCTATTTTTAACGTCATTCACGTTCACACACACACTTAATTTATGTTTAACGTTTTGTCAATTTATTACCAACCGATACACAAACCCTAAAGATATCGATATCGTTTTTTTGCAAACAGTATTGGCGAAATCTTAATAAAAATGGAGCAAGAAACATCCAAAAAAACGGCCATCGAAGAAATTTTTAACGTTGATGAAAAAATCTTACCGCTGGAAACAATCACCACCACCGCTACCGCTGCCGACATAAAACAGGATACCCATGAAAGCAAAAATAACGATAATGATAATAATAATGAAGATGTCAACGATCATAATGATCATAGTATTTTTAAAAGCTTTATTGAAATACCCGATGTTGTTGAAATGTCAGTGACATTACCTGAACAAACAAATACTAATGATAATAACAATAAAACATCAAATGCAGAAAATACAAATTCATCGATCGTAGAACAACCGCCACAAATTTTTGGCTACAAAATCAATAATAATAACGATAACACAGGGGACAACAACAACACATCCAACGATAACAAAAACGATGTCAACTCAGATAATGATGAGAATCGCGTTAATGATGAAATATTCCCCAAAGTATCATTTGATGAGAATCCTTTAAAGATAACGGAACTGAATTCTTCCTCGTCTGATCCATATATCAACAACAATATTGAAGATTTATTCGGGTCCGTATTAAGCACCGTTCAACAACAACCACGAACCGACGAAAATTTTAAAGAGCCTGATAAAAACATCGAGTCTTTTAGTGAAAATTTGATTAATTTTTTTCCCGAAAATATTATCGACAACGACAACAATGATAATAAGAATCTTCAAGATGATAATGATGATAGTATTGATAGCGATAGTGTTGTGGAGGATAAACAGTTGTCAATTCAGGATTTCGATATTTTGAATAAAGAGCCGAATTTTCAAAATCTTGATTCAGCAACAACAATGGTTAAACCACGAGAAATTTCTTTAGATGACACAGACCAGATTTTATCTTCAAAAAGGAATGATACTCATGACATTAGAGATTTGTCATCGAATTCTGTAGTAGAAATCGCTCAAAACAACACTGAAGGATTGTTCGAAGTAACCAAACCATATCAAGTAAATTCCAATGTTGTATTTGTATCTCCCATCTCGGAGATTCCATTCGAAGATGAAATTTCTAAAATTCAATCACCCATTGAGTCTACTACTACTACTACTACTACTACTACGAATAATATTAGCAATCGTTCTGCTATTGATTCTAGCGCTTCAGTTACTAAAAATCACCAAATTCTTAAAGGAACATCCCCAGAAAAGATTGGCATTAGTGATAATGAAGTTCGTAATGTTCCTCTCACCCTCGCATCACCGGAAACTAATGGGAAGAAAGCTTTGAGCATGTTTTTTATTTTGTCGTTGGTAGTAGCGACTATTGCTATATTAGTTTGGCAAGGGAAATTTGAGCAGGTAAAGATGAGTTCGATATTTCATATTTGTGCACGTATATATGCTGCTGTTTTCAATTAATCAAATTTCTTGTTTGCGAATTCTAGGAAATTTCTCCCGAGGTAATGTATTGAACTAATTTCAAGTATTAAAGATGCAATTTTATTCCAAATTATTTATTACGTTCTCTTAAAGATGAGAAATCGACCAATTTTCAAAGAATTCGCAAAATCAACTTCTCATTTATCGAATAAACTTGGAAATGCCGAAATACCAGGTTAGTTGGTGCTCTGGTTTTTTTAAAACTTTAACATAAAAAACACTGATAGTCACATGTTTCATTCATTCGTTAGTTTCTGGACCAATACTGGATCTTCGTTCATCGTGTCACACGCTTCGCGACACTTTGAAAAATCACAAAAAGCTAGATAAATACGACAATCTTGTTGCTTATCTTGATGATCTAGGCGAGTTGCTATTTAATGCCGGAGATGAAATTTCGCGATTGCATGTCGATGGAGATTCTTTCCTCACAAGCATTCAACAACATCTTGTCGACTTAGAAGATTATATTCCTATCGATGCTCCATTATCATGCGGTAAAACTATCGATTCACTTTCCGTTCTACTAAAATCAATAATCTGGGATTTTGGCAAATTTGAAACTAGTCTACGTAGCGCCCTCAAAGCTATCAAAAATGCGTTAAACAAATATAAGCGTACTTTACCACGCAATGATCAAGATCAAGATACGATCATTGACCAAGTAAAAGAGTATATTCAAGAGTTGGGGAATATCACGAGTAATCTGAATATACGGAATCGTGTAGAGTATGTAGACACAATCCAAAACGGAATAAAAAGCTTAGAGGAAGCTGTTGAATCTGTCGAGGAGTTAGATAAAGAAGTGCAATTTGTCAGATCCAAAGTTATCGATGATAAAAAATTGCTTAATTATATGTGTGGTTATTATGTAGGAGATGAACAAGATCAAGAAGCATTGCAGGAAACACGAGAGCAAGTTATTAAAGATCTTGAAAAATTCAAGGAGAAGATGCATGTGAGAAACGTAGTAATTCCAGCTGCCTCTCCTTCAGTATCTCCAGTAGTGAAACCTAGATTTGGTATTTTTTGGTGAAAATGGTGTATATATTTCGTATAAAATATACATGTATTCAGTTAGTTTGAATAACAAATTTTTTTAGTACATACGTATATATATATATAACGATATAAAACAATAAAATTTTCAAAGTTTTTTAAATTCACTTCGAATCCACAGAGTCGCAAAATTTCCAACAACCAGGACGAACATTAAACAATTTACGTACCATGCTAAAATAATTTGCTTTTTCTAGAGATTGTAATGAAGTCAATCGATAAGGCTGGTTTATGGTTAATATAGTGATCGTAATTGTTTAATTGCTTTTCGGCATCAGCAAAAAAACTAATACGCACACAATTGTAACATATGATTCAAAACGAAATTTCTATGGACGGAAGAAACTTGAAAAATTTATAATAATAAATGGTAATGCACCCCTTACTCATAAATCCGCCGGACATTTCATGATGTTAGTCAACTTTACGTTAAAGTACGAAATAGGTTTGGTATATATTTTGCTTCCCGGAACTTGAACGTTAAGACGATTTTTGTAAATATGTATTCTTTACAACAAAAATATGAAAGTTATCCAATACTACTGAAGTTGCGAAAGATACACTGGGAGTGGAATAAATTATTTGCTGCGCGAATTTAGGAGCTGTTTAGTGAATTTAATATTTCGAGTGTAAAGAATTCAGCCGCAGCTTTATGATTAAGCGTTTCTCTCAAAAAACATTGTTGACGGTTGGTCGGAATAAATTTAGGAATTACGTAATTGCATTTTTACACGTAACGATAATAATACGTAGTTGTATTGTTTCCGGCGTGAAAAAGTTTAGAAGACATCGATAATGATGAACTAATTAAGCGGTGATGTTTATTAAATACATGTATCACATAAAAAGCATAAAAAGGTTAACGTTAATACATGATAACGATAAACCAACGCACGTTTACTTAATATTAACGTTAAGATATAAACGTAAAAGTTTACCAAGGTTGTGATAAATTAACGCGCGTTTACATAATGTTTAACTCAAGTTCATATTAATTTTAATTCAAGCTATTTTTATACTTTTGCATAGTTAGCTTTTGTATCTTGTACTGAGAGTTAACGTTAATTCGCTCACGTCTGATTACCGTTACTACATACGTATTATAATGAAATCGTGTTAGATATCAGTAATAAAACAAACATAAGAATAACCAGTTAAGTACATATTCCAAATAATATTAGTGAAGGTAAACTCACTATTTAAAAGAGGAGGAGAATACTTCGAATGTCTTACAAGAAAAACTTTAACTTGTCGAGGAACACTTTCCAATCGAATAAAACAATATCAAAAGAACACTGCTTTTGACATAAGAAAACGATAACTAATTTTATTTTATAAAATGTATAAACTTCTCAACTAAGAAGTAAATTCAAAATTTAATCTGGTCGAAAAAAGTAGGCTAAATAATATTAAAAAAACAATTTTGCTCGTTTTTAATTAATCCACGTGAAAAATCTTTATTGACCAATCATCTTTAGATCGCTGATCCAAATTTTTTTATTAAGCAAACTCGGGCTGAGTGACTAAGGCTAGTACTCTTATCGACTTCAGATTGTAGTATATAACAATAAACCTAACCATCTGGGTTTATCTTGTTTATTTTGTCAAAACTCGATGCAAAATATGGGTTAATTTTTCAAAAAGTTGCATTTCTGTACTTTAGACCACAGGTGAAACCTACCCTGTTCGACTAGTGCCGTAAGTATGGTAGAAAAAGGCTTATTCTACTTGTTTGGTAATAAATACACAATATGCTCTTAAATTCCCAGATAAACATAGTAGCAGAGGCATGATTGTAGAATGAAATTGATAAATCGTGAAATGTAAAATGGGCAGTTGGCATTTCACTTTGTACCAACCATTCCAATGTCGATTTAATGGCAGACAAGAATTGCGTATAAGTTGAGAAGTGAGGATCCAAAATTGGTATAAAATTGGAAGATAGATCTGCAGATCAGTCAGTTTATCAGTTTATATACCTCGCAAAAAAATTTTCTTTTTTTTTAGTTTGTCTATTTGTGTGCTATTATTGAACAATATCTATTTCTACAACTTTACATAAATTAACCGCCTCACTGATGAGGGCTACGCAGATACTTCACCGACGAAGCTAAAGCGGAACGCATTCTTTTTACCATCACAGAGGATAACAGGAGGGTTGTGTTCTCACACAGAGATTCAACCGAAGTATAAAATAACTTTTTGATAGCCGTTGTTTCATTCTCGTCTGCGCTATGTCATATTTGCTAATAATATAGACTACTTAATCTTGTGCTTTTCTTTCTTTCCTGCTTCTTATCGTCAAGCACCGCTCAAAAAACACATTTATGTTATCGTAGAAACCACTCGTTTCTTGACGCTCACTCTAACATTTCTTTTATTTGTCCATCTTACTGCTAGCATCAGCGTTTCATCCAGCTCCACAGCTAGCCATGCGGGCGGTTTTTTCAACTATCGCTCATTCTTTTTCATGATCACTCCGTTTTTCA